AACCAATGGACGTCCTCGGGTCTCAGGGCTGGGCTTCTCGTGGAAGGCTCGTTGTGGTCGAGCTGCTGCTGCACGGCCCCCGTGCCCGCTCGCCGCGCCGCGCTCACAGCGGCGCGTGCCCTTCGGTGGTGCCAGACGGGGAGAATCCCACCCCAGGGCCGCCGCGGCAAGGCCATGCGTGCGGTCCCCCCCGGCCCCTTTCGGCGCACTGCTCACGCGCGTCGTGGCCCCGCACGAGGCGTTGCAGCAATGGCCTGGCCCTCGAGGATCGAAGGAGTGGCCATCTCTTCCTCGGCGAACGGGCGGCGGAAGGTCGGCGGAGGTAAAACGAGGCCGCCTCCGCGGGCGGAAGCTGGCGGCGGAGGGTGACGGAAGTGCAGGATGCGCCCCCAAGAGACGAGCACGTTTTTGTCTTGAGGGTTTCCGGAATCCGCCGCATATAGAGCTCCACCGAAGGCTGCAGCGGTAGGGTGTCGCGCGAGGCACCCCCCGCCAATTCTGGCACTCTGTTCACGAGGTTCGTGGCCCTGCAGGGAGCCCCGCCGAAAGCCTCAGTGGCGGGGTATCACATGCGTCCCCCCCGCCGGGTTCTGCGCACCCCTCGTTCGCTTCGCGGCCCCACAGGGGGCCTCTTCCTTTTTGCCGTGCGTCGGCTGTGAGGAGGAAGCCAAGCCTTGCGGTGCTGGCAGCTGCTTTTGGGGTGGGCCCATCGCCGGGCGACTTGGTGCTCTGACCTGCCTGTGTGGAGTTGGGTCCTCGTTCTGAATCCGCAGGGCCCCGCCCCTCTCCTCCCCTCTTTGCCTCTGCACTCCGCGTCCCACCTCTGCCCCTTGCCCCTGCCCTCCGCGCGTCGGAGCGTAATTGCCTCAAACGCCTCGTGGCCCCATGCGGAGCTCCAGCGACGGCGGCGTTCGCGTGCCGCCCCGCTCGTTTCGGCACATTCATCACACATGTCGTCGCCTCGCTGGGATCTTCAACGAAGGCCCGAGTGGCGGTGTTCGCATGATGCCCCGCTCATTTCGGCACACCCCTCATGCGTCTCGTGGCCTAATATGGGGGTCCCACCGAAGGCCCCACTGGCGGGTGTTCGCATGTCGCCCAGCTAATTTCGGCATCCCTCGCGCGGTCCGTGGCCCCCGAGGGAGCTCCACCGAAGGCTCCAGCGACGGAGTCTGCGCGCCTCTCCGCTCAGTTCGGTGCACCCCTCAGGGCCCCTCAGACGTTGCGTGGCCCGGTGAGGACTGGGCCATGCTCTGCGCACTCCGCGCGCTTCGTGGACACATGGGGAGCTCCGCCGACGGTCCCGGTGGCGATGCCCGCGCGCCGCCCATCCCATGCCGGCGCACCCTTCACGCGCTCCCCGGCCCCACGGGGAGCTCCACCGAAGCCGTCGTGGCAGTGCTCGCACGCCGCCCCGCCAATGCCGGCACGCCCTCCACGCGCTCCGTGGCCCCACAGGGGGCCTCCCCCGAGCGTGCGCCGCCCCGCCTCTGCTTCGGCGCGCCCCCTCCGCACGCGGGTCGCGGACCCGAGCGGCGGTGACCTGGTGACCGCAGGAGGCTCCGCACATCCTTCACCGGGATCGTGGGCCCGCAGGAGGCTCCGCCGCGAGCCCCAGCGGCGGTGTTCGCATGTCGCACCCGCCCAGCTCGGCACATCCCTCGCTCGTGTGGCCCCAGGGGGGAGCTCCACCGAAGGCCCCATGTTGCGGTGTTCGCAGGCCATCCCTTCAGAGTTGGTGCATCCCTCGCGCGCTCCGTGGCCCAGGGAGGAGTGGGGCAGATCTTACGCCGCTCGCAGCTGCACAGGGTTGGGCCCATCGTTTTCTGTTGTTGTTGTTGTTGTTGTTGTTGTTGTTGTTGTTGTTGTTGTTGTTGTTGTTGTTGTTGTTGTTGTTGTTGTGGGGGGAGGGTCCTTCGCAAGGCATGCAAGGCGTACTTCGCACACTGGGCTGGAGTCACTGCGCTGGTGGGCCTCACCAAGTTTTTGAACGAGCTTGGCGTGTCGTGTGTGTTGTGCTTCCTCTAAGAGTTGTTATGGCCATTCGCCTTGCTTTTCATCAAGCTCATCCCCCTCCGGTTTCCTTCATTGTAGGTCCCGTCGTTGTCTGACCAGCTGTGATGCTGGTGGTAATGACGATGCTGATGCTGCTGATGATGGTGATGATGATGCTGATGATGATGACGTTTATGATGATGCTATGATGGTGAGGATGCTGATGTGGTTGATGATGCTGATGCTGGTGCTGATGCTGATGTTGATGATGACGATGATGATGATGATGATGATGATGATGATGATGATGATGATGATGATGATGATGATGATGATGATGATGATGATGATGATGATGCTGATGATGATGATGCCGCTGACGATGATGATGGTGGTGGTGGTGATGATGATGATGAAGACGACGATGGGCATGACGCTGATGACGACGAGGAGGAGGAGGAGGAGGAGGAGGAGGAGGAGGAGAGGGAGGAGGAGGATGCTGTTGCTGCTGATGATGATGTTGCTGGTGATGATGATGGTGATGATGATGCTGACGACGACGATGGGCATGACGCTGCTGACGACGAGGAGGAGGAGGAGGATGCTGCTGCTGCTGATGATGTTGCTGGTGGTGGTGGTGGTGATGATGATGATAAGGAGGAGGAGGAGGAGGAGGACATGCGGAGGGCAGATGCAAGGATGGGAGGAGGAGGAGGAGGAGTGAACGCGGGGCGCTGCGGATTCAAAACGGGGACCCAGCACCACGTGCTGGCTGGGAAATTACATCACCCCGCGAGCGGAGGCGAGCGCGACTGCTCTGCCGGCCCGTGCCCGCCCGCCCAGTGCCAAGCAGACGGACAAGCTGCTGCTGGAGAACCCCACCTCCGCCACCTCCGGCTCGCTGCTGCAGCGCCTCCGCGGATCTCCGGGGCAGCCGCAGACCGATGCCCTATAGGCGCCTCCCTTTTGCTCGAAGGCTCTTCGCTGCCGCCGGCAGACTCGCCTCGGGGTCCTGGTCAGAGACCCGCCCGTGGAGAGGCCCGGGTGGCAGCGGTTTCGGGATCTGCGCCCGGGTGTTGCCAGAAGTGCCCCTGGCCCAAGGTGCCCCCAGCTTGTCGCTCCATTTTGGAGCCCCTGGGGCCCTCCGGCCCCCGTGGGGGGTGCCCGTGAGGGGTACTTTGGGCCAGGGGTACTTCTAGCAACACCCGATGTGTATACCCCCAGGATCCAGCGGGTGGTCGAGGTCATCCTCGATACCTACCTAGGCCGGGGGGGGGGAGGTGATGGGCATGTTTTCCACCACCACCACCACCACCATAAGTTGAGGGGGAGGGGGTTCTCCTCCTCCTCCTCCTCCTCCTCCACCTCCTCCTCCTCCTCGTCCTTCACCTCCTCCTGCTCCTCCTCCTGCTCCTCCTCCTCCTCCTCCTCCTCTTCGTCCTCCTTCTCCTCGTCCTCCAGCTCCTTCCCCCCTCCAACTTATGGTGGTGGTGCTGGTGGTGGGAAACAGGCCCATCAAGAGGGGGGAGATTCGGAATGGTGGTGTACGTTAGGTTCGCGTCGTGCCGACGCGGTGGCGGCCTCGGCGCGCGGGCCTTCGAGATTCTGGAAAACGCCAGCAGGTGGCCCAGCTCGGCCAGCATCGCGGTCGGCGAGCCGCCGTCGTTCAGAGGCCGAGCGATCCTCTGCGCCGACGGAGAGCCGCGAAAAACTGCAAGGGTGGACGATCGTCCGCGGTGGCAGACGTGCGCGCAGAGGGCGTCACGACACGGACCCCGCCGCAGGAGGTGGGCAGGATGTGTGTGTCAGGAGGGAAAGAAACACACAGACACAATTAATCCTCGATTCCCCAGAAAATATGGGAAAATATGGGAACATATGTTTATTTGTGTGTATTTATTTGTGTGTCCTGGGGCCCCTTCAGTGTGGGCGGAGGGAGAAGAGCAGGTGCAGCGGGCCGGGTCGGGCGGCATGCTGGCGGGAGCCGCAGCGCGGCGTGAAGCGGCGGCAGGCCTCTGTCCGCGCATGTTCTTCGGGTGGAGGGCGCAGGAGGAGGGGGAGGAGGGGGAGGAGGAGGAGGAGGAGGAGCAGGAGGAGGGGGAGGAGGAGGAGCCAGAGCAAAAGGCGGGAGAGAGGAGAAGGGAGAGAAGGAGGAAAAGGGAGTGGAGAAGGAGGAGGACGAGGCGGAGAAAGAAGAGAAGGAGGATGCCGAGGAGGACGAGAAGAAGGAGACGAAGGAGGAAGGGGAGGGAAGGACAAAGTGTGAAATCTGAAATGCCGTTTCGATTGATCTTCGAGGTTCGACTCAGCAGAAGGTGAGTCACAAGACGGATTTATATTTTCGAGGCGCAAAAGCCCATGAGGATTTCACCCTGAGCCCTCCACCCTAAGAAAATGCACAGTCTGTGAGGAAGGGTGCGCGGTCAGCGTCGCGCCCGCGGTCGCGGGCGGAGCCACGACGGGCTGTGCACACCAGTCGGCTGCCAAGTCCGCTTTTTGAGGGTCCTGGGCGCTGAGGGTGCCCCAGGCTTTGGCAAGTGTGTTCTTTTTTTTCGTGCAGGTGGTGCCGACCAGGGTTAAATCGGGCCTGTCCTTCTACAGGAGGAATATTCAAAAATAGTACAACAATCATATGGGGACGATTTTCGTATTGTTGCGCATGTTTGAAACATTTTTTGAGTATTTTAATTTTTCGTCCAAAATCCGCCTGTAGGGAGACATGCCCGACCTAAGACCAGGGGCACCAATGGAACATGCGGGACCTGCTCCGATGGACTCTCTCCCTTTGAGCAGTATTTACCAGAGGAGGAAAAGGTACCCATACCGCTACCCTTGGTCCGTTTTCCCCTCTTTCGGCCTCCTGGGAGGCACTCGCCGCCACCGCTGGATTCGCCTCGAAATCCTGGTCAGAGCGCACCCGGGCCGAGGAGTAGCGGTATCGGCACCTTTTGGTGTCCCCATGCATTTACCTTTCTCTCTGCCCCCCACCCTCCTGCTGACGCGTGGTTCAAGTCAAGCGCGGACGCCTCTGGCGTGCGATGCAAGGCTTGCTAGGCCGCGAGCCTAGGTGCACCGGCGGCACTCTTCGATCGTCGTCTCGTCTTGGCGCAGAAGGGTGCAGTGGGAATGACTAACCCACCAGTCGGACTCTTCCTCGCAGGGACTGTGCTGCTCGTCGGGGTTCCCCGCAGCGTGAGCGACGTGGTGCACGTGAACTACGGCTACTTCAGGGAGTCCGCAGGCCACCTGTGGACCTACGCCATCGACGCCCACTCCTGGCACGACGTGGAGACGAACACCACGTACAGGTACACCTTCTGGCCCCAGGCTTAAGTCGGGCCTGTCCCCCTACAGGGGGATTTTCGACGAAAATAAAAAATACCCCAACAATAAAAAAAAAATAGTCCAACAATACTCAGGGGACTATTTTTTGAGTATTTTTTTTTTTTTTTTTTTTTTTTTTTTTTTTTTTTTTTTTTTTTTTTTTTTTTTTTTTTTTTTTTTTTTTTTTTTTTACCTTTTTTGGGGTATCTTTTATTTTTCGCCGAAAATCCCCCTGTAGGGGGACTGGCCCGACTTAACCCCAGACGTCGGGCGGCAAGGTGATCGAGAAGCTCCAGAACGGCGAGCTCGACATGGCGCACCTCGGCAACGCGCCCTGGGGCGCCGGAGCGACGCGCGGGATCCCGGCGAAGATGGTGTACGTGATTCACTCCAAGGACCCGCCGTGAAGAAACGACGGTCCTGAGGTAGAGTCACGTCGGGCCTGCCCGTCTACAAGGGAACATTCAAAAATAGTAAAAGGAATAGTCTGGGGACGATCTTGTGACCATTATTGAATACTGGAGGGCATTTTTGGACTATTTTCTTGGTTCGTCCAAAATCCCCCTGTAGGGGGACAGGCCCAGCTTAAGAAACGACGGTCCTGAGATCGGAGGCGGCCAAGTGGGGGGTGATGACTAGGGGGGGGGGGGATATCATGGAGTGTGTCATGATTTTTCCTCAGATTTCATGGCGCCCCTGCTTTTTTCATTACGTCCCGGGCCCCGCCCCCCCCTGGGCCGCGCACATGCCGCCGGCCATGGTTTGCGCCCCCCCCCCCCTCTTGGACGCCCCCCTCTTGGCCGCACCCGATGAGATAGAGGGGTCCAGAGTGTTCTAGTCGTTCTCGGTCTCCTGGAGCACTCCCCGTCCCTGGACCGTGGAGACAGGGCTCAGGACAAGAAGCTGCGTCCGGGGAAAGGCCCAGGTTCCAGGACTCGTTTCCCTCGGGGCCCCCATTTTGGTTCATGGCCGAGGATAAGAGCCAGAACCTGGTCACGAGGCAAGGTATCAACACACCCATGGATTTGAAGGGCAAGCGGCTCGCATACATTCAAGGCTCGACGACCCACTACATGTTGGAGGGTTTTTTAGAGCAGACGGCGCTCTCTGTTTCTGACCTGGAATGGGTGGGGCACATGACTGCCGCCGACCAGAAAGCTGCCTGGGACAAGGGCACGATCGACGCTGGATACATGTGGGGACCCAACATGCGGCACCTGCAAAACAATGCTTGGTGCTCGACGCCAGATGCCGGGACCGCCTGTGCAGCAGAGGGCGTAAACCAAACGGGCTACGACCTTTTCACCGCGGGCATGTCGAAGCGCTGGGGGAAGGAGACTTGGAACAACCTGGTGGTAAGTGATGCGTTTGCGGCGGAATATGCTAACACAGTTTACCGTTCAGTGAAGGTGGTCTCTCTAGCGGATACGAAGCTTGTTGAAGACAAGGGCTGGTTCTCAAACGACAACACCAAAGTTTGTGGTATCTCATTTGCTACCGAGGCGTTTGACTGCGACTCCAGTGATCGCCAGACGGTTCGCGACGCGCTCTACTACGATGTCTGGCTGGACTACGAGACGCAGCAGAGCAACGCTTATATGGGGGAGAAGGTAGAAGGTGCCTGTGCCAAGGAAGCTATCGGCACCCACCCCAACAACGACGGCGCCTGCACTCGAGACACCATGGCTGGGTCGGCTTGGTCCACGTGGGCTACTGCAGAATTTGGCTACAAGCTGAAAGACCTTCCGTATTTACCATCCTACGCGTATTACCAGTCCACCTTAGACTCGAGATACATTGGCGTAGTCGGAACACCCGACGACAGGTTCCCGAATCTCACAGTGGACGACCTGGCAGGCTTGAGCTACTACAGTCTGGAGAGTCCCAACTCCTCCAACCACTGCGGCAGTCTTGTCCAGCCGATCCAGCTCAGCAGTCCGGGGGTGTTCAGAGACCACGACGGAGGCGGCTTCTACGAGGAGAACGCCACGTGCTATCCAGGGGGCGTGCGCCGCCCCGCCGCCCCCCCCAGTGAGGACAACGTGAGGCTTCCTGCGTCGTTTCTGTGCTGGTTGCCGCTTCCCCCGTTGTGCCTCCCCGTTGTTGCCGATGCGCCCTACCAAAGATTTTTTTGGTCCCGGCAAAAAGCAATCCTTTGGTCCCGGCCAAATCTTTGATGCCTGCGCGTCTGCTGCAGAAGCTTTCTGGGGGCTCTTAGAGGCCGAGGGGGCGGCCTCCTGGAGCGTCTTACGGGAGGCCTTCTCGTCGTCGTCGTCGTCGTCGTCGTCGTCGTCGTCGTCGTCGTCGTCACTCGTGTCTCTTCGCTCATCGTCGTCGTGCGCACGGACGCGGCTGGAGCCTGTTATTTGTTCCGGGCCGATCGCGGCAATCATCTGAGGGGGTGTGGACGGGGTCGATGACATCATGTTTCGCGCCAGCGGTGTCTGGGAATGCTACTGGGATGACAGAGGACGGGTAGCAACGCCTGTGTACACCACCGTGCCTGCGTGCACCACAGCGCCTGTGTACACCGCACCGCCTATGTACACCACGGCAGCCGCGTGCAACACAGCGTCAGTTTGTGCCACCGTGCTCGCGGGCACAACAGCTGTTGTGTACACCGCAGCGCCTGCGTACACCACATCAGCCGTGTGCAACACAGCACCACTGTACACCATAATGCCTGCGTGCGTTGCAGTGCCTGTGTACACCACGGTGCCTGTGTGCACCACAGCAACCGTGTGCAACACAACGCCACACTTGCACATCGAATATTAGAAGGAATCCGTATGACAAAATGGAGCGCCTGTGGATTCCACAAAAAACAAAGGAATCCTTATGGACAAAGGAGCGCCGCTGGAATCTACGAGTTTCCCCGAGTCCGCCGGCATCACCCTAACTTCTCCCATCTGCGTCCAAGAGGCTCCAGCGAAATGGGCAGTGCGAGAACCAAGTGGACCGATTCAATAGACCATTATGCGGTGCACAGCGCGCTGAATTGCGCACGTGCGCTGTAGCGCCACCCCGCACGACAGGCGGTAAGGAGGAGGAAGAGGATGAGGAGGAGGAGGAGGAAGAGGAGGAGGAGGAGGTGGAGGTGGAGGTGGAGGTGGAGGAGGAGGGAAGAGGGAAGAACGTCGCATTCGATTATCAGCACTATCCTGCACGCAGGCACTGGTGTACAGTCGCCCTGCGTTGCATACGGATGCTGTGGTGTAGACAGGCGCTGTGGCGTGCACAGGCGCTGCGGTGCACGCAAGCATTGTGGTGTACACAGGCGCTCTGTTGCACATGGTTGCTGCGATGTACACATGTACACCGGCGCGGTCGTGTACGCAAGCACTGTGGTGTGCACAGGCGCTGCGTTGCACACGGTTCTTGCGGTGTACGTAGGTGTTGTGGTGTTCGCGCGCGTTGTGGTGCACGCGAGCGATGTGTACAAAGGCGCAGTGGGGCATATCGCCACCTACATTTTGCTCGCGTCGTCCTCGTCGTCGTTGTCGTCGTCGTCGTCGTCGTCGTCGTCGTCGTCGTCGTCGCTCGTCGCTCGTCGCGTCGTGCGCGCGGGCGCGGCTGTGGTGCCGGAGCCACACGGCGGGGGGGGGGGCGTTACGTCATACCCCCTCGCCCCGCCCCCCCCATGACGCCCGTCATCGCCGAGCATACAGAAACGCGCTCTTGGGGCCATCTGGGGGCGTGGGCTCCCGGGGTCCCTGCGAGTTTCTTCTCTTGAGACTGTCTTGGGCCTTTCTTGAGGTCCTCTGGAGGGCCTGCCTTGCCGTCTTGGCGGCCTCTTGGGCCGTCTGGGGGCCGTCTTGTGCCGTCTCCGGGCCCTCTTGCCTCTTGGGCTGTCTTGGGCCAGTCTGTTGAAGAAGAAGAAGATGAAGATGGCGATGATGATGATGCTGATGATGATGCTGATGATGATGAAGATGATGATGATGATGGTGATGATGAAGCTGACGATGATGATGATGATGGTGATGATGAAGATGACGATGATGATGGTGATGATGATGCTGATGATGATGATGCTGCTGCTGCTGATGATGATGGTGGTGGTGATTATGATGACGGAACAGATTTTGAGGCCCTGATGATGGTGAATATTATGCTGATGATGCTGATGTTGATGCTGATGATGCTGATGATGCTGATGATGATGATGATGATGATTGAGATGATGATGGTGGTGATGATGAGTGCTGCTGCTGACGATGATGATGATGATGATGTGATGGATGATGGATGATGATGATGATGAGGACGATGACGATGATGATGACTGATGCAGGATGAGGATGATGATTGAGGATGATGATGATGATGAAGGCTGATGATGATGATGAGGATGATGATGATGATGATGATTGTTCATGATGATGAGAAAGAGCGTGTTGTTGTACCGCTGCTGGCGGAAAACCGTGGGGGGGTCACTACCGGTTCTAACCACTCCCCCCCCCCCCTTCCGGAAAACCGGGGGGGTCACTACCGTTCGAACCCCCCACCCCCCCACAGTCCATAATGAAAAAGCGGGGGGGGTCACTACCGGTTCGAACCCCCCCCCCTCGAACTCGAAAACCGGGGGGGGTCACTACCGGTTCGAACCCCCCGCCCCCCCCCCTCGAAAACCGAGGGGGGGTGCGGACAGTGGTGGGGACGGTGGTGGTGGCGACAGTGGTGAGGGGACAGCGGGACAGTGGTGGGGACAGTGGGACAGTGGTGGGGACGGTAGTGGTGGGGACAATGGTGAGGACAATGGCGGGAACAGTGGGGACAATGGGACAGTGGTGGGGACGGTGGTGGTGGGGGACAGTGATGTGGGGACAGTGGGAATGTGGTGGAAACTGTAGGACAGTGGAGGGTACAGTGGTGGTGGGGACAGTGGTGAAGGCGGTGGCGAGGACGGCGGTGGGACAGTTGGACAGAGGTACAGTGGGGACAGTGGTGGGGACAGTGGGGACAGTGGTGGGAACAGTGGGACAGCTCAGTGGTTCGAACCGGTAGTGACCCCCCCGGTTTTCGAGTTCGAGGGGGTGGGGGGGAGGAGGGGTAGGGGAGGGGGGGGGTTTGCCGGGGGAAGGGGGGGGGGGGGTCCAGCAGGGGGGGGGGGATTTTCGGAGGGGGTTGCGAACCAGGGCGACCCCCGGGTTACCGAGGAAAAGGGCGGCACAATTGTCCACAGTAAAGAGGCGGTCGTGATCACGCTCTCTCTCTCTCTCTCTCTACTTCCCCCCCCTTCTCCTCTCTTCGATGGATGATGATGATGATGTGATGATGATGCTGATGATGATGATGATGATGATGATGATGATGAGATATTGATGCGATGATGATGATGATGATGATGATGATGATGATGATGATGATGATGATGATGCTGATGCTGATGCTGATGCTGAGGCTGATGATGATGATGATGATGATGATGATGATGATGATGATGATGATGATGATGATGATGATGATGATGTATGATGATGATGATGATGATGATGATGATGTATGATGATGATGATGATGATGATGATGATGATGATGATGATGATGATGATGATGATGATGATGATGATGACGGAACAGATTTTGATGATCTCTCGGGCTAGGCGCTGGCTTCAATCTCAGTGAGGGGTGTTGCCAGGAGGTATTTCACGGGCCCGTTCGCGCCCAGATTGCGTGGATATTTCGAACGGTTTGCTGGTTTGCGCCCCCAACATCCGCCGCTTTTGGAACATATTGTTTGAGGATGTCTCGGGCGAGGCGCTCGTTTTCGCACTCCCAATGGGGTGACGCCGGACGGGGTACCTCACGGGCCCGTTGCTTTCGCACCCATGGGGCTCAGATTGAGAGAATGTCTCGGCGTTTGCCTATTTCACCGCCCCAACATCATCAACTTCCAGAGCAGATGCTGAGGATGTCTCGGGCGAGACGCTCGTTTTCAAACCCCAGAGGGGGGGCACAGCTTGCGAGGCTGTCTCGAGTGGCTTGCCTGTTCTAGTGGCCACGCTCGTCTGCGTTCAGGTCGAACCCTTGGCATCGTCGAGTGTCCCTACAGGTTGCCCCTCCCCTGTGGCTCCGATCCTGTGTGGTCTACGTATGGGCCTCTCCCAGGTCACGAATCCTTGGTGTTTTACGTTTAGGCTTCTCTGGGGGCACGAATCGTCACAAGGAGGCGCCAGGAAGCTCCAGGAGGCACCAGGAGG